CTCTAAGTGCCTACATCAAAAAATCGGAAAGAACACAAAATGACTTAACACTGCAACTCAACACACTTGAAAAGCAACAGCAAACAAAACCCAAACCCTGCAGACAAGAAGAAATAACAAAAATCAGGGCAGAAATCAATGAAATTGAATCAAAGAAAACAATACAAAGAATCAACAATACCAAGAGCTGGTTCTTTGAAAAGATAAACAAGATTGACAGACCGCTAGCACAATTAACCAAAAGAAAGAAAGAGCACCTCTTCTGACTTTTGTAGACACTTTCACACACGTGGTACATACACAAACAAGCACACACACAGATAAAAATATATTTTATAAAAGAATTGCTTTAATGCACATAAATTGCTTTATTGCCTTCTGAATTCCTCAAATCAATTTAAGCTACTGTTTTTACTACATTTCTTCTTGTCTCTGCCTGACGACCTTCATTCCCAGACAAAAGAGGCAAAACTGAAGGAATATATACTTTGATTAATCTGTTTCCATCGTTCCTGACAGTTTTCAATAACAATGAGTGGAGCTATAATAGAAAACATAAAAATTAAATGTAATATATTCTTGTTTTGATTTTTTAAATTATTCATTTAATAACCATATAATTAGAAGCACTTCATTACAACAGCATTGACATAATCAATAACAATTTCCAGACCTAAGATGCATCTCTTTCAAAATTGGCTGTATATTTTTAGGTTTACAGTTGAATTGATACAGTCATACAATATTGTACTTGGTATAACCCCTATAAGACATAAAATTAAATGAGGTTTTAAACTTTAAAAAAGATCTCCATTTCATTTTATGTCTTATAGGGGTTATACCAAGTACAATATAAACCCTATAAGAAGACACTACAATGCACATGTGTTTCTGATCTCTATATATCTGATTATTACTAGTCGCAGTCGGATATTTTTGAAAATCCTTGGCATCTGAGCATGGATATAAGGTCATCAGGTAGATTTCAATGGTAATGTTTTTCACATCTACTAAATATTAAGGAGCAAATTTTTATGCTTTGAAGAATTATTTTATTTCTTTCATATTTATTTATACACCCACTTCCCAGGTAGCACCCTCCCATAGCCTCCCTTCCCCCACTAGAGCCCTTATACTCTGATATCCCTGCTAGTGTCTACTGTGTTGTCAGCAACCCAGCACTTCCCCACTACTTGCCCCTCTGGTGAATCTAGTCAATCTATCTAGAGGTCTTTGTTTTAGGAGGGTCAGCTGTTCTTCATTGAGCAGTAACCAGTTGTCTATATTCCTTTGGATAAGATTGGGGTCTGCTGTTCATTGTCCCAGTTCTATGATGGGTTACTATCTGGGAATCCCTTTGGCCACGAGGCCATCAACTCAAAAGAAGGTATCACTTCTCTGGCATTGTTGTTTGTTATGTAGCCTTTAGCTATACATATGGACTCTTATAAAATTATGTTGGCCCATTTAATCTCTGGTTATACTTTCCTTTGGGTTTTTAAGGCCATGCAGTTGGTCCAGATAAAACCAATTTATTTTTACTCTTAAAATCATTTGA